GAGATTCTGATCKACCAGTTGTTCCAAATCAACTGTCCCTAGTACCACCCAGTCTTGAAACTGTTCCTGGACAGTCATYAATCTCTTGAACAAGTCTTCTGCCTTGGTATACACTGTATTGAAGCCTGATGCATTGTGRTTRATCATGAGAGTGAACACAGCACTGTTGTCACCAACTCCACGGAAATGGTTGGGGATTGAAATGAACTTGCGCATCTCACGGTAGTACTTGGCACGRATTTCCTCTATTGGTGGACGAAACTGAAGCTTTTGCTGTCTGGAAATCACAATAATTATTTTGGTCAGGTTTTGATATAAAAGTATGGAAACACATAGTTTTTAAATTAGTAATTAAGAACATAGACCTTTTCTGCAATACAAAATCGTAATGCATGGTGGTCTAGCRTYAGTAMAAACAACACCATATTTGGCATCATGACCAAAAGATGTTTGTACCAAATCTAGACCAAAATGCAATGCAAACTGCTATCTTAGAGAAAGCCACAATGTCAAATACACTTGAGTCACTACAACTGTGTTCACACACATTACCGAATGTGGGTCTTGAATGCAAAGTTGAATTTCATCTTTTTTTAAAAATCACTGCATCTGTCAATCATTGAATGACAGACAAGTTGCTGTCCCTCAGCTCAAATTGATGCAGATGTGACAAAATCTTTGCACAAAATCAAAAGTAGAATCTCTTCAAACAACATTGCGATCTTTGCAAATAGTTTAACATGATTGACAGCTGCAGTTCAAGTTTGCATTCCCGACAGTGCATTGTCATTGGTGCCAACACAGCAATTGACCAGTCTTGAATGCAAAATAACAAATCTACATCATATATACACCCTTTTAATAAGCCCCGAGGTATTGTGTTCTCCGCACTTGACGTCAAATTTATTCTTTTGAAATTTTTACAATACAAAAGGAATTCAAAAGAATAAATTTGACGTTAAGTGCGGAGAACACAATACCTTGGGACTTATTAAAAGGGTATATAGTGCATATTTTGACCTACCTAAATACAAGTTCAACCTTAATTTCAGGAAGGTTCTCATTTAAAGCTTCCAATCCCATTTGATACTGATGTTCAAGTGCTTTATAAAGCTGTCTGTCCCAGTGCATCTTCCAGGTCTTCATATTCTCAGCTTTGAAACCATGCTGGACAAGAGAAGTCATGATTTCACGAAATTCCACCAATGCGTCCTTCCACCTTGGCTGCTGTCTTAGTAGGTCGACACTCATTAACTGGACAACCTTGACAAATGAATATTAAATAAGTATTAATATCAATAATCCATACATTATGCAGAATAGAGCTACTATCAATTAGCAATCTAATAYTGATAAAACCACTTTGATGACACTTTTAGGACTCAAATGATGGATGTTC